GGCCCGATACCATCAAATTCAAACACATTTAAATTTCCAAAAACTCTTAAAATTTCAGTTAAGCAATTTTCTTCAAAAATTCATTTCTCGGGCTTGGGACCTCGGAATTCAATTCCGGGCATACGCCCAAGTCCCATATTTTTCTACGGAGCCTCCGGGACCGTCAAATCATGGGTCCGGGTCCGTTTACCAAAAAGGTTGACCGAAGTCAACTTAAATTTAATTTTTAAGGCAAAATTAGCATTTTATCAAATTTTCACATAAAAGCGTTCCGGATATATGCCCAGACCGCGCACGCAAATTGAGGTGAGATAAAAGGAGGTTTTGAGGACCTAGGAACACAGAATTGACTTGTAAATCAAGTGATGACCTTTTGGGTCATCACAAGCACGAAGGGTGATGTCGTGCACGTTTCAATTACTTATGTGGTGAGGAAGAGAGATAAAGCACGAAGGGTGATGCCGTGCACATTTTTATTATTCATATGGTGAGGTGGAGTGGTAAAGCACGAAGGGTGATGCCGTGCACGATTCTGTTATTGATTATCTGGTGAGATTGAGAGTAAAAGCATGAAGGGTGATGTCGTGCATTTTTCGTTTGCTGTGTTTACTTGTTATTACCGGTTCAAAGTGTACTAGATGTTTAAATTCCTTAACTACTGTGACTCTTTATTTTGGTAAACCCCTCCCCCCCCCCCCCCATAGCATGTTTCCCCTCCCGTTAATTTCTGCGTAGCTTCTATTATTTGTTACTCTGGTAGCATATTGTTTAACTGTACAGGTTTATGTATGTGTCTTGTCCTAGCCTCGTCACTACTACGCTGAGGTTAGGCTCGGCACTTACCAGTACATGGGGTCGGTTGTACTGATACTGCACTTTCTGTGCAGATTTAGGTACTGGACCGTGTTGACCCGGGTTGAGTTGCTGCCTTTAATCCTACAGGAGACCCAAGATAGATTTGCCGGCGTTCGCAGACCCTGGAGTCCCCTTCCAGTTATTCTAGTTTACTGTTTTTTTTTAATTCAAAGACAATTGTATATTCTTTCAGCCAGTATTTGTAGTGACTCTTAGAAGTTCGTGAATTGTGACACCAGTTTTTGGATAGTAGTGTATAAGTATTGGGTTATTATGAAATTTTGCACACTTGTTTTTTAATCTGTTTTGGTTTAATTACTGTTATTTACTGATTTGGTCAAGGGTTAGCGTATAAAATCTTTAACTGTTGGCTGCCTAGTATCCGAAAAGTTAGGCACCATCACGGTCCCGACAGTGAGAAATGCGGGTCGTGACAATCTCACACGCAGGTATACATGGATATACATGTGATAGACATTTGATTCAAATATGATACATAGTGCGATACACCTTTTATTATTTTCATGTTCATCTTCTACTTCAAATTTTCAATTCAAACCACCTCAAAACTCCACCAAATCATCTCAAAATTGAGATTCAAGCTCTTTAAGATGTACCCAATCTATTCTAATAACACACACTCAAAAGAAAACAAAAATTTGACCTTTTTGGCTACAAATAGCTAATTGGCTAATATTGGTAATATTTGGCTAATATTAATAATATTTTATGAATTGGCAAATTTTTGTAATAAGCTACTTATAAATGGACATAGTTGGTATTTTCTCTATTATATTTTGAATCCCCAAGACACAACCCAAAAGCATAGCTTAGTGCTTAAGAGGGTTCAAAACCTTTGTAAGGTCATTGGTTCAAATCTCACTATAGCTATAATCTTTTTTAAGTTTTTTCTTTTTTTAACACCCTTAGTAGAAATCATGCCTCCGCCACTGCATACAGTAACCAATTCCATTAATTAAAGTAAGCAACACATTTCTACTAAATTAAAGCCTTACATAATTGAAAATGATTTACTCGTTACATTCATGCTTGCTAATTAGTAGGAAAATCAATGCTTTAAAATTTTGCTCCTAATTATCTTATTAGGAAAGCCAATGATTGAGAAATAGAACAAGAAAAACTCGTCGGACATGCAGATTCAAAACTTCCCAATCAATTTATAAGTGGCCCAAAGGACATTCAAATATTTTCTGAGATCTCAGTTGTTCCCCATGTCTATGAGCTCTGTCAACTGACTACGACTCTTTAATATATGAAAAGCTTGACATTTGCTAAAGAAATTTTTACTCCTAATACTTAACCGAAACTCAGAAAGGTTTTCAGAATGCCATTTGCTAGTCACCATCGAGGTAACAACTCAGCCCATAGGTGATATTGTCCGTATTCGGCCTAGGTCCGTACGGCTATAAAATGTTTGCGTTACTAGAGTATAAGGCTTGTTTACTTATATACTCAGCATCTCTTGCTGAGGTTTTTGCCCCACCACCATTCAAGGTCCACTAGTAATATTGTCCACTTTGGGCCTAGGCCCGCACGGCCTTAAAACGCGTCACTAGAGTATAAGACTTGTTTATTTATATACCCAACATCTCTCTCGTATTTTGTCGATGTGAAATTCGACGAGGATGTCACAATCAAGAAGCTAGTAAAACACTTGCTTTTTTTGTTTGTAATACATAAAAGTTTCCTTAATTTTTTTTGTGGTAATATGCTCTTATATATCCAACCGCAATACATGCATAATCTATATTTACAAATTAAGGCCAAAAGCATGGAAACATTATATATTCAGAAGCTTCATCTTTATCAAATTAGAGTCACACGTAAGAGTGTGACTCTAACCCTCCCCCACCCACACACCCACCCACCGAATCAGGAACACAACCTGGTTGGGTGGATTGAAATAAAAATAAAAAAAATAAAAAAAATTTATATATCACGTAAGAGTATAGGCACACTGGAAAAACCAATTTCTACTACTCCCTACTCACACGGATGAAATATGCATACATTATAATACAGATTTGTGAATACTGTTTTAATTATACTGGGTTTGTTGTTGTTGAGTATTTCAAGATAAGGGCAAACACTATGCGGTAGATATAAGGAAGATCCTAGCTAGAGAGTTGTAGTTGAGATGGACATTAAAGCAAGTAATGGGATAGAGTCTGGTGTACAAATTATCTCGCGTTCACGCAGGGTCCGTGAAAGAGCCTCACTCAAGGCGTGTAATATAGACCATTTATCCTAACACAAGCATTAATGACTGCTTTCACAGTACGAACATGTGAAATATCAATCTTATAGAGACAACTTTACCCATTGCTCTAATAGACTAATACTCTCCTTGTTGAGATAGAGCAATCCAGATATATCATTTACAAATATAGATGGCTACGAAACTTAATTGAAAAAAGATAAAGAAGAGAGTCCAATAATCCAGACATATTGTATGGGTCGAAATCTGACCGAACAAGAATCTGCATAAAGAGTGACGGTAAGTCACTTTAGGCAGAAGTCGTATTCGCACAACGCTATAGCGACAAACACCTCGGCTGAGGTCGTGTACTCAGAAGGCTTACACGGTGGATTGCATGACACGGTATTTCAGAGGGTCAATCTGTAATTCAGTTAAATAACTTAGGCACTCTGGCTAATGATTGTTGTATAAATGAGAATACTTAGTATATATACTGTTGGGTGTGCGAACAAAGTCCCACATTGGTAGCTGAAAAGATTGGGAGTCTACATATAAGGTGTAGGGATCTCTTAATGGTGTGAGGCCTTTTGGGAAAAACCGTGCGGGCTTGGCCCAGAGCGGACAATATCACACCATATTAAGAGTGTACTTGGGCTAGTTTAGCCCAACAACTCTTGAACCTCGCTCTGATACCACTTGTTAGGATCGAAAAAATCAGGTGTCATGCGGAAGCTAGCAAACCAAACCTTGAACGACGATAAACCACACATAACAAAAGAGAAATCTACCAAAAGAGACACAAACATATAACGTGGTTCGGTCAACTGACCTACATCCACAACGGAGATGAGCAATCCACTATAATAAAAAGAGAGTACAAAATATCGAGAGAACAACCTCACGAAGAGGCAAACACAAGTGACACACTAACACCTGTCCCGCAAAGTTCTCCCCCTAAACACGACTCTCAAGCCCCCTATGGCTACATTGTGGATGCTACTGAATGTGAAGGAAGGATCCTCAATTTATAGAAGTCCAAACCTTTTCCTACAAGAAAAAGGACTAGCCAAATATTGGAGATTTATGATTTCCTTTTACCAAAAGGAAAACCCAGTTAAGGTAATTATATTGCCCTTTTACTTCAAGAGATAGGAAAACCAAATATGGTAAGAAAATTATGGCAAACACCTAATAAACTTGATGCACCTTCTTCACATAGCCTTCAACAGGTCGCGTCTCCAGATCTCCGCCACAAAGTTTCTCTCAACGTGCGTAGCACTCCGGTCAAATTTCTCAGACAAAAAATCACGATTATCATCAAATATGTTGCAGCTAGAACTGAATACGCCAAGATGAACCTGTCTTGAACCTCGCTCGAAGCTGGCTCTGATAGCACTTGTTAGGATCGAAAATATCAGGGTTGCGCTACTAACTTCCGCATGACACCTGATATTTTCGATTCTAACATATACTAGGTGAGAGAACGAAGGAAAGGGGGGAGAAAGACTCACACACACATATGGACTTTTCCAGAAAGGAAGAAGGATCTTCAACCCTTTCTCCTTGAGAAGGGGGAAGGGGAAGGGAAGCTCAGATCCTCAATATGCATCATTAATTTCATTTTGTCAAATGTATGGAGGTCAACCATATTCCAGAACGGTGACCCCTTTTTATTTATGCTTTTTTCATTATCTTTAAGTGTTATGGAAATCACCACCCTTTTCTTATATTATGGGGTTTGATTATTGCTATGGTTAAATTTTATGTTCAGTTATACTTGTTCATTTTTCTTTTCTACCTCAAATCTAGGATGAATTATCTTTGGCTAGTATTTACCTCAAATCTTTCTGTTTAATTAGTTCACGAAAAGATTTAACACTTTTTGGTCGAACATATATATCATTACAAGTAAGGATGCCTTAAATGAAAAAAAGATAAAGATACAATTTCATTTGATAATTTTCCCATCACCTTGTTACATGACACCCCAAAAGTAAAATAAAAAAAACGAATATAACAACACCCATAATTAAAAAGAAAAAAAGGAAAGGGGAGATATATATTGCATGCCCTGTGAAGAAAAAGTAGGCATCTAAAGAAGCACAACACTAACTAGTAAATAAATATGTACAATTCTTCCCTTTCCCCCAAAAAAAAACACCCCATTCCACATCCTCTCTCGTGATTCTAAATTCTTCTCAAAACAGCATTGGAAGAATTTTCTGTTCCATAATATGATTCAAAAACCTTATCGTCACCATGCATTAATTCTGACGAATGAAGAGAGAGAAGACAAGAGAGAGAATAGAGAAGGAGACAAGGAAATTTCAGTAGGGAACAAAAGACAAAACTGCATGTTTTTGCACCCTAGAATGGATCATCCAACGTAATCAAAAACTTCACCATTTCTATGTTAGGTTTTCTTATAAGGTTACTCTCTTCACGAAAAAGATCCTTTCCCTCTATATATTCTATTTTGTTCTTTCTTCCCATCCTTCTCTTTCTCAAGGTTTTCTTGCTTGAGTTGAACTGTTGATGAACATGACATGAGACACCTGATAGTGACACTTTTGGAACCCCCCCCCCCCCCCCCCTAAAAAAAAAAAAAAAAAGAAATATCACAAACCCTCTACATATTTTTATAATCGAGAAATTTTCGAGGGCTAGTAGCACACGGTTCAAAATCCAGTGAATAATATACCAGGCTTCTGTAGACGAGTGAGTTCGAAAATCTTTGACGTGTGCCTCACCAACACAACAGAAGTTGCGATCTTACCACTAAACCAGAACACCAAGCATCACAAACCCTCTATATTATATTGTTCTAAGAGGTCAAAAAAACAGAAGACCACACCCCAAAAAAAAATAAAAACACCACCCCAAAATAAAGAAGAAAAAAGAAGAGTAGTAAAAGGCTAGTAGTATTAACTAAGGATGTTGATGTTATTAGTTCTTTGTCTCTTAACACTTCCAGAAGCAGAATCATCACCATTTGATTTCTCCATAACTGCTTTAAGTGCTTCTTGTATTGAACTAATAGAGTATTGTGGTTGTTGTTGCTGCTGATCAAGATCATCACTTGTACTCAAATCATCTTCTTGATTATAATTATGATCTCCAGTTATGAACAAAACATTTCTCACACGTCCACCAAGTGTTGTAATTTCAGCTTTTAATGTTTTTAACCTTAGTGCTTTTAATGTCTTGATTAAATCAGGTAAAAGATCGGACCTGTCTTCACAGCAGAGTGAAGCTTTTATCACAAACTTACCATCTTCGAATTCATCAGATGCAGTATCCACTGTTAATTCATCTATCTCTGTTGGAACTGGACTTGTTTCTGCTATTAAAGAAGTTTGTCTTTTCAGCTCTTTCACATGTTGTATCACCTCAGCTAGCAATGAAGCTTTGTCCGTCTACACCATAATAAAACCAAAAAAAAAAAATGAAAATCATAAATATATTGCAATTTTTGAAGATCTTTATGTAAAAAAAGAAAAAAAGTTTTAGTTCTATGCAGTAATGCACTATCATAAAATAATCGATACACGTAACCATTCATAAACGAGATCAACAACACCAACAATATACCCCGTATAATCCCACAAAGTGGGGTCAGGAAGAAAAGAATGTACACAGACCTAACTCGGACCTTTGAAGTTATAGAGGCTATTTCCAATAGACCCCGGCTCAAAGAAAATTTAAAAGAGATCACAGACACAATAAGTAGTAATATCAACTAGATAAAGGGATAAGGTGAATAAACGTGATCAATAATATTTAAAATTAAGAAATTATAAATTATAACATGTTAAAATATAGTGATAATTTTTTACATTCTTAGTTCATGCATAAGATAAGTAAAAACCTGTTGAAATGACAATATGGGGATTCTAAACTCTATATGATTGATCATTGAACTGAGAAGTTTTAATGCTTTTTAGGGTGGAGTTTTTTCTACTATCAAATCTCGTAGTCCTAAATAATAATTACATAATGGTTTAATGGTAATTAAATGTAATCGTCAATACTAATATTGTTACATTTACAACAGTAAAGGAGAAAATAATGAAAAATGAGAAAATGGCGTTTGTAAACTTGACAAGATTGATCATTAAAATGAGAAGTTTTAGTACGTTTTAGAGTGGGGTTTTTTGGGCTAGGCATGAGAAGTAGAGTGGTTTTTTCAGGGTGTGAATGACTGACAAGAATCCTTCTTTGTCTACCATTAATCTTTAATTTCTTTTCTCTTACTCCCTCCGTTTCAATTATGTGAACCTATTTCCTTTTTGGTCCGTGCCAAAAAGAATGACCCATTTCCTTATTTGGAAATAATTTACTTTTATGCAATGATTTACAGCCGCACAAAATATATGTGCCTCATTTTACACCACAAATTTAAAAGTCTTCTCTCTTTTCTTAAACTCCGTATCCAGTCAAATAGGTTCACATAAATTGAAACTGAAACGGAGTGAGTACTATCTATAACTCTTGTCTTCATTTTTGAATTTTTCTTACTACTTTATACTATTGGATGTAAATTAAATAAGAGACAAGAATTTTCTATGGAAGCTTTTCAACTGCTACGTGGTTTCTCTTTTTCATGTCAAATTAGCGACATTAACGCTTGTTCCCTTTTCCCGTTTCGTCTTTCCTCGGAACTAGCACTACAATCAGAATATTTCCACAATCATCGAAAATATTTATTCTTTATGTCCAAACCTAACTGAAATAGTTAACAATTTAATAGATCAACGTAAATACTTCATCAGTCTAAATTCATGTACACTCTTCTTTTCTTTGCAGTCAATAATTTATTTTAGATCACAAATTTTAAAAGTTTTTTTTTCCTTTTTAAGTTTTATACTGAATTAAACACCGCCACATAAAGTAAGACGGAGAATGTATTATTAAGAAAATTCAAAAGGGCTACACCCTTTTTTGGTACCTAAGTACACACTTAACACGGTTGGTGCTGCTAGGTTTTCTATTATCTATACTTTCTACTTTCTAGCTAGGGATGAAAGAATCCAAAACCACAATCTGAGAGGATCTAAAACTCAAAAGAGATAGTACTTGAAATATTTCTAAATAGGCTTTAAGTTCTATACATAAATAATATAAATATTTTTTATATTATCAATATAATTTAATCATCACAGCATGTTATTATTATATTTCATGTTATCATGTACTCTCACTATTAAAACATAAAGTTATTTGTTGTTGTAAGTAATAAATTACTTTATATTGCCAGTGTATATGGCATAATTAGTAGCGAAATTAGGAATTTCTTCTAACGGTGTTCAAACTTGAAAGAAGTGAGAACTATTCTAGAAAAAGGGTGTTCAACATATATTATATACCTCTATAACTTAATATTTTACCTATATACAATGAAATTTTTCAACAAAGGGCGATCAATCGACAACCCTAAAGTAAATGTAGCTTCACCCTTGGGCATAACTACAACAATAACTACACATCAGTCATAAATAAATAGGAGTCGGCTATATAAATTGTCATTCCTATACATATATAGGACATAAAATATTGCATCAAATAAGCATAAAATAAGTCTGTAAACATGAGAATGATATGCTTAATGATTGGAAATGCAATATATATAGAACTTACTTTTGTAGTATTGGGAAGAAGGCTTCGCAATTTAGCAAGATGATTATTGATTCTTTCTCTACGTCTCCTTTCAGCTTCACTATGACTTTTTGAAGCAGCAAGAGCTTTAGCATCCATAATTTCTTGAGCGGTCATTTTTTGAAGTTCAGCTTGTAAACCAAAAGGAGCTGAACCGGCCGGTTGATGATGAACCACATGACCTAAAGTATCCGAAATAAACCGGAGGTGATGGTCTGATGAAGTTGTACCTTCGTAACCAAATTGTGGTACTCTTCTGTTGAATAAACCGCCGTAAGGTGATGGTGCTGGTGGGAGAAGAAAAGGGTCGACATGGTGGTGAACCGGGTTGAAAGGTTGAACCGGTGGGAGAGTCCAAGGTAGAATTTGAGACATTTCTGAGTTGCTTGGGAAATGAACCGGATTGATATTGAAGCTTTGTGGCTGCATATTTTCTTGATTTGATTGTTGATAATGTTGAAGTAGTAGTTGTTCTTGAATACACTGTTGAAGACTATTTATAGCTTCAGAACAATTTCCTTGTTGATCTTCTTGATCTTTCCTATCAGACATAACATATATATAGAGTATGTATATATTTTATATGTGTATGAGAGTAAAATTTTGATCTTTTTCTATCCAAAAACAATACAAAATAAGTATTAACTTTGATTGTCAAGAACTTTAGGCTTGTTTGATTATCACAAAAAGAATGAAAAAGTTACAGTTTAACCAAGTTACATACTTAGATTTTGTGACAAACAAGGTTTGTTTATGAATAATCAAGAATGAAAAAGAATATTAACGAAACTTGGATTTTATGACAAAAGGGGGGATTTTACAAAAGGGAATTTCAAGGGAATAAAACACAAAAAGGAAAGTAAGTAAAAGACAGACCTTTTGCTTTGCTTTGCTTTGATGTATAGAGATGAACAAACTGAGGGTTTTTGTTTTTTTGAGAGAAAAGGGTCTTTTTTTGTGCCTTTCAACTTGTTCTTCTAACTTGGTATGTATAGTTTCTTTCACTGAAAAAAAGCTTTTGTTTGTGTGTAGTGTTGAATGGCAATGGAAATGACCCTTTTTATCCTTAGCATCAACTAGCTTTTTTCAAATCTCTTTTGTGGTTGTCTTTGTTGGTATCTTTTTGTTTTTTTAAAAAAAAAAAAAATGGACCCTCTTTTTTATTTATTTTTCAGTATGTATAGTCTGTTCTCTTTCATATATTTACCCCACTTTTTCTTCTCTCCACTCCTGACAATATATAGAGGGTATACAAAGTACTGGCAGTCTTCTTTCCTTTCTCTTTACGGCATTCTTTTTTCTCTCTCAACTATCTATTTCTGTAGCTATCACACTAACTAGTGATTTCTCTCTCTCACTCTCTCACTCCTCTTTGTTTTGTTTTATTTATTTTCCCTATAGAAACACATGAACAATACATATTTACTAAGTAGTGCTTCCTCTCAATTCATTTGTCTTAGTTTGATTTGACACGAATTTTAATAAATAAATAAAAAAAATTGAAACTTGCGAGCTAACGATATATACTATAATACTTGCATAACTATAAAAACTTTTGAAACTTATGCACGATTAAAAAAAACAGGAACTAACGATAAAAAATTTATATAGCGACAGATTATCAAGAAATTCTGTTAGTTAGGAGTAGTGACAGACTGGTGACGAAGTTCCTAGCTAATTCTAGTTTTTTTGTAGCAGTGATCTGAAACAAGTCATAGCATTTGTGTGACTATAAAGCTTCACATTAAAAAAAAAAAAAAAAAAAAAGTGTGCCAAGAAATAATATCAATCTTTTTTAAACAGGGGAGTAATAGTATATAAGTATAGTAATAAATTTAATTATGATAGTGGAAGCATGTTACTTTGTGATTGGTTCAAAGTATATAATTAGAGTGTGTGAGTAATGTTGCTGCAGCAGAAAGAAAGAGAGAATGGAGGGAGCAGAGATACAACACAGTGAACACACAACACACGGATTGTCGACCGACCAAAGACAACTATGATAATAGAGCTTTATAGTTATTGATGAGGAAGTTTAATTTACATTATCGGTGTAATTTAATCAGCTATACATTGTTATTGCTCTATTTTTCGAGTTAACGTACCTAAAGTTACTTGGTATTATACAATAACTTAATATACTAGTTAAAGGCGAATTCAAAATTCAGATTTTGATATATTTATCTTTAAGTTACGAGCATGTTATTGGATTAACTTTAAATTTTAATGGATAACTTTAATTTTGATACCTATTTTGATAGGAGGCAAATATTTTGTATTTAGGGAGGGACCAAACAAGGGCAGCACCCTAAGGGGTATAATTTAGATAATTTATTATAATGGTTGCTATTCGGGTCCAGACGCTAGCGGTTGCTTTTACGGTTTGAATCCGTATAAATCACGCGTAAATAACTTTACCGTTTGTTTAAAGCTTTCCCTTCTTTTGTTTGATGTATATATTTGTTTATTATTCAAGTGTGTGAGTGTGTGTAATGGATAATGAGAGAGATAGAATAGGAAAAAGGTGTAGTTTAAAGAAGTTTGGGTATGGTATAGTAGGTTTTTGGGTCAAGCCCCCACGTTCTTCTATATTATTATTCTCTCTTTCGATAGAGAAGTAGGCTATTTTCCACGCCAACCCTTTCTGCTTCCCCAAGACCCATGTAATCATTGTGTCTTGGAACACACTCCTCCCC